AATTACCTGAATAACCAGCCTTTTGTTATTCTTCATCACTCTGCCTCCCTCTTTTTCTAACAAACTCCCTGACCCAAAGGCAAGCAGCTCAAATTGTTGCATTTAAGACCTGCTTCTGGAGTCAAGACATGGGCTGTGTCTACACTGGGCCACTTATTCCGGAAAATCAGCCGCTTTTCCGGAATAAGCTGCGAGCTGTCTACACTGGCCCTTGAATTTCTGGAAAAGCAACGACACTGTACTGTACAAAATCAGCCGCTATTCCAGAAAAACTATTCTGCTCCCGCTCGGGCATAAGTCCTTATTCCAGAACACTGTTCCAGAAAAGGGCCAGTGTAGACAGCCCAGTAGTCTTTTCCGGAAAAAAGCCCCAATCGCAAAAATGACAATCAGGTCTCTTTTCCGAAAAAGCACGTCTACATTGGCCACAGATGCTTTTCCGGAAAAAGGGCTTTTCCGGAAAAGCAGCCTGCCAGTGTAGACGCTCCTTTTCCAGAAAAACTGAAAACGGAATAGTATTCCGTTTTAAGCAGTTCCGGAAATTCATGCCAGTGTAGACACAGCCATGGGTTTTAAGCAGACCTCAAGTATAAAATCTAGGGCTTCAAACTCAAGAGGGGGGCTACTGCAACCCTAGCTCCACATAATGGTGCCCGTGTCTTATAGCACGGAAAAGAGCAAAGAATTAACATTCTTTATCAGTATTTATAAATTATTAGGAAGAAAAATCTAGAGTCCCGTTCTGCAAATGCTTGTGAACATGTGTAACAATTTCCACATAAATACTACAGTAGAGCTCAGTAACATTGCTCCTGTGAAAGGTTACATATGTGCTTAAGTGTTTGCTGGTTTTGAGCTTACGCTTCTTCTCATTCACCAGTATGAGGAAACTAGATAGGTGAAAGATATTGATGAAATGAAAAATATCAGTTTAATATAGCTTTCTTATAACATCTGATTGCATAATATCTATGAATGATAAAAGATAACTGTGTAAAACTGAGTGATTGGGCAACAAAATGGCAAATGAAATTTAATGTGGATAAGTGTAAAGTAATGCACATCGGGAAAAATAACCCCAACTATACGTACAGTATGATGGGGGCTAATTTGGCTACGACAAATCAGGAAAGAGATCTTGGAGTTATCGTGGACAGTTCTCTGAAAACTTCCACACAGAGTGCAGCGGCGGTCAAAAAGGCAAATAGGATGCTAGGAATTATTAAGAAAGGGATAGAAAATAGGACCCAGAATATCTTACTGCCCCTGTATAAAACTATGGTACGCCCACATCTTGAATACTGTGTACAGATGTGGTCTCCTCACCTCAAAAAATATATTTTGGCCTTGGAAAGGGTTCAGAAAAGGGCAACTAAAATGATTAGGGGTTTGGAACGGGTCCCATATGAGGAGAGGCTAAAGAGACTGGGACTTTTCAGTTTAGAAAAGAGGAGACTGAGGGGGGATATGATAGAGGTCTATAAAATCATGAGTGGTGTGGAGAGGGCTGATAAAGAAAAGTTATTTATTAGTTCCCATAATAGAACTAGAGGACACCAAATGAAATTAATGGGTAGCAGGTTTAAAACTAATAAAAGAAAGTTCTTCTTCACACAGCGTGTAGTCAGCCTGTGGAACTCCTTGCCAGAGGAGGCTGTGAAGGCTAGGACTATAACAGAGTTTAAAGAGAAGCTGGATAAATTCATGGAGGTTAGGTCCATAAAAGGCTATTAACCAGGGGATAAAATGGTGTCCTTGGCCTCTGTTTGTCAGAGGCTGGAGAGAGATGGCAGGAGACAAATCGCTTGATCATTGTCTTCGGTCCACTCTCTCTGGGGCACCTGGTGCTGGCCAGTGTCAGCAGACAGGGCTAGAAGGACCTTTGGTCTGACCCAGTACGTCCGTTCTTATGTACATATTGTTTGTGAAATAACACTGTAGTTTTACATGACTTAAATAAATACAAGACTGTTCAAATGTGGAAATGGTCAGAAGAGGTAGGCATCAATAATGGAAAAATTCTGCCAGTATAGACCCATGAGGAGCTGGCAGATGACCCAGTGAAATCAGTTCATCTTCCCATTTTACAGATTGTCCCCACAGTATGTTGAAGCACCTGGGAATATATTTGTAAAAAAATGTCACTTTCTTAATCATCTGATTCCGTTGTCTGTCAAATATCAGCATATGAATTAAGGAAAAATACAGGTTTCATTTCCTTTTTTTTAGAACCAATACAGCTAACGAAGAACAATATATATTATATTCTGTCTCTAGCATCATCTAGCAAATTGTCAGTTAAATTCAGCTAATGCATTCTTTATGCAGACTTTACTGTATGTGATAATGCCAGAGGCAGCCAGTAAATCTTACATTAACTTTACAAATAAAAATGCCAAGTACTGAAAAGTATATCTGATGCCCGAAAAAGCATACAGAATCCCATCCCATAATTTACTCTGGGAAAATGTCACTGACTTTTTTTTACTAGGTCAGAACAATTTCATTATTAATCCTTTCTACTTACTCATGCATAGCAGAATATGACCAATTGCTATTGTATCATGTGAAAGTTTCACAGAAAGACACTGTTCATTCTGCATACCAAGACAATATTAGCAACCTCATCCCTGCTCAAACCCAGAAACAACTTTATTTTGAAGCTCACTTACTAGTTGCTTTTGATGCTAAAAATTAATTAAAATAGTTACAGTACTGTCTTCAGTACAGCTGAATAAATAATAAAATATTTATTATTTTGTAATAAATAATTTATTGCATAAGTTCAGGCTTGTCTTCCATTAGCAGAAACGCAGTGAGTGGTTTTCCTCAGATATATTTAGTACACCCACTCTAAATGCTCAAATGTCATACATTAGGCCCCCCACAAATATAACTAAAATAATTTTTAAAATAATATTAGGCCTTTTTATTAGCTTAGAGTCATTGGGGTTCACCTTTCACAGCTTTTTGTTCAATCATAGAAGTTTAAAAAAACCTTCAGAAAACCTGAGATTCTTAAATGTGAAGGAACTGGATCTTAAAGAAAAACACTAAATATCACCAGACTTGTGATTAAATTGCAAGAATTGGTATCAGAACAAAAGGTTCCAAATATTTTTCACTGTAAATTGATCATGATTTATAAAAAGTTCACTGAGAATACTTGACAATGAGTCAAGTAACACATGCTGTTTCTGATTCCCAAACAAATGATACAAATACTTTTGAAGTGAATATAAACATGAAATTCAGTTTCCTGCACTACATATGCCTGAAACTTTGACAGAGAGCAAAAATGGGGCATGAACTAGGTTAAGTGGTAGTGTCAATATGTCAGTTAACCGATGAGCATGGGCTCATCAGGTAACCTCTACGGTTACACAGAGCCCCCACCCTGCTGCCTCCCCTCCCCCCCTTTAGATGTGTAACCCCTGAAAATGTCAGTGGTTACACATTTAGCTGAATACACTCATTTTAACATTCTCAGCTTGAACGTGTCCAAACTGGATTTATTTAAAAATGTAGCAATTGAATATTCCTAGGAATATCACTGAGATCAAGTAAAAAGTAATTTTAGGGAGTTATTTTATATTAATTGGAATTTATGCAACATTTGCTAAGTAATAAATGATGTGAAAAGTGATACTAACTTTAGGACTGCTTTTTCCTGTCACAAATACTGTTTTCACTCCCCACTTAAATTCCTTTCTGCAATTTGATCCATGCAGGTGGAGCTTGCCACATCTGAAGAAGTGGGTTGTGCCCACAAAAGCTCATGATACCATCTACATTTTTTGTTAGACTCTAATGTACTGCAGGACTAGTCACAGTTTACTGTAGTCAATTCCAGTTCAGCGTGGATTCAAAGTTTCCAGCTACACCCATTGGATTAGAGGATGAGGCCAAACACCTTTTATTTTTCTGTCACCTGAATTCTTTCAAGATTCTGATGAAGAACCCATCATTTCAGGCCATTCTCTAGGACGCCCTTTCAAAATTCCATTGTTTGTTTCCTCAGGCCATTAACAATGATTTCCCTTATTTCAGCATAGGAAATTCCAGAAAGTTCCCTCTACCTTACTGACCAACAGTACTGCCCATGGAAACTCCTGAAAGTTTCAACGAATTTTTGAGTAGATGAGGGAATAAAGACCCCTGGCATCTTAATGAAAGTTCCTCCCTCCATGTGAGAAAATTAGTCTCCATTCAGACTCCCCGCACCCTCCATTTTTCAGCCAGGTCTGAGGGGCAGCACCGCAGCCACTACAAAGATACAAGAGCTTTCCACCCCAGCCTGCAACTCTTTGTTTCTGGGCTACGCGGTTGGCCTTCCGTCCTAGATGCTGCGACTGAAACGCTACGACAAAGCACCACTTCCAGGGACCTGAGCGAAGCCACTCAGTTCACACGACTGACAGCCAGCCGGCCGCGACGACGATAATGCGGTGCCTACTGAAACCTGCCTTCTCCATAGAGCCGCCTCCCACTCGTATGGGTCTGTCAGCTCCAGAAGAGGCACCCCAGCATCGGAACCAGGACGGAGTGGGACCTACTAGGACCTGTCATCTCCATTAGAGCCACTGGCTGGTAGGACTGAAGCACGGCGCGCAGAGGCCTACCGCCGCCACGCCAATAGCAGCAGCACCTCAAGCAGCGCGCGCTACCGCTCCGAGCTCCACCCACAAAACGGAGTGGAAACCTTAGCAACCGCGACAACCCCACTTCCGCCCTCCCCTCCAAAGGGTTGCATTAGTTGTCTTCTGTAAAGCCCACCCACCGCAGGCGGAGTCACATGCCCCACCCTCTGGCTCATCTCATTAGCTGGAGTCGGTGTCACTCCTGGGGACCGCGAGAGCTCTACCGAGAATCAAACGGCGACTTATGCCCCGCCCCTCTCTGAAAGCCACACCTCCCAGTGGCACGGCGATTAACCAGTACAACTGTCAATCATTGTGCTCCTGGATTGTGACTGGCTGATGCTGAGCTGTGGGCGGGCGGCGAAAAGCCGGGGTGTTTACTGTGCGTGAGGTGAGGGGGCTGTTGAGGAAGAATCACCACCTCTTTCCTGGACCCGGCCGGCTGCTAGGCCCTCGGGGGTTACCATGGGACTCCGAAGGAAGAACAAGAGCCCAGCTGTGCTGAGCCATGAATTCGTGATCCAGAACCATGCGGACGCCGTGTCCTGCCTGGCTATGGGCTTCCTGCTGGGGCTTATGTTCGAGGTACGGGGGCTGGGGGCTCTACCTGCGGCCGCCGAGCGGGGAGCACCCGTCCCAAGCGAGCCATACCGTTATCTCCGACCTGCGCCACCGCTGCTGGTCTGCGGGCAGCGGCCGAGCCTCGTCTCACACCCATGTCACTACTGGTCGCGATCCTCTTCTGCGCGCTCCGTTCTCCCCAGACCTGTCCTTGCTTGGGCCCCGTTTCTCCTGCCTCCCCAGCGCCTCACTCCGAGGGTTGGCCTTGTGACACACCCTCGCTCTCATCTCCCCCGTGCGCTGGTCCCCATGCTATTTATCCGGGCCCTCTTGTCATTGCTGTCTATCCCCGGACCCTTCATGCTCGTTCGTTCCTTTCCGCTGTATCCGACGCCCCTAGCTCACGACCTGCCCTCCTGAATCCCTATTGCCACACAGCTTCCCTTGTCGGCCCCTTCACATTAGTTGTAGCCCGTATTCCTTCCCAGCAAGCCCCTCATTCCCATCCATGCTCTTGGAGCTCAACCTGCCTTTTCTCTCGGGCGTGGTTTGAACTTTTTCGTGGAAACTTTGCAGTGGTGGAAACGTGGGTTATTGGAAATAGAGCTCCAGGTGGCCACTGGTGTTTTAACCACCAGATTGGCTTGACCTGTTATGAGCAGGGTCGGATGACATGGCAGTTGAAATGGTACCAGCAGTCCACCTCTGTTATTGATGATTCTTGCTCTCACTGACTCAGGTCAGTCAGTGATGGAGATCTAAAGAAAAATGCTAGTATTGACACAATCTTAGACTTGTCTCCAAATCCCTCTTCTCTTATGTATTTTAAAGTTAACTTTTTCTAATTAAATGAAGATGACACCTTTGATTTGGCTGAATTTTTTAGGTTTTGTTCTCTGGAATAAAATTGTTGTGTCATGATGCTGTATGAGTTCATTGTGTTAGTCTGTAAGTTGTTTAGTTTGATTTTTACTGCTGCTCTCAAGAATGGGGCAACCTAATGAAACAGGTAAGGCAGGTTGTTTGCCTTTTGTTTGGGGTTTTGTGGAGGTAGATGGGAAGGGGAGATGTCAGGACTGTCTGGAAACATGGTTTTCCAAGCTGTGACAATTTATGTCTGGGAAAGTTGTTACTGAAACAATCCAAACATCACTCATCACCTTGAGCTAGATTTAAAATAAGAATACTTAAAAATGAGAAAATACTTTGAAATACTGGGTTGAAAGATATTACGCAGTGTGAAGTAGTATCTTTAAGGGTTTGTTCTTTACTGCTATGCTAGTCCTTTAGAATTCAGTGAATTATGCTGGAAAAGGGTGGATAATGGAGTCACGATAATCAAATAATGTCCCTCCAAACAAATGACAGATGCTAAGTTGGGTGATGCTGTAGTGTGCTGCATTAGAAGTGGTACAAACTAAAGCGGCTATATGACGCAGATAGAATGCTGGGATAGAAAGTGAAGTTGTAGAGAATCATTAGTTACAAGAGGAGGCTGAAGGTGGAAAAACTTTGATCCTCCTATGCGGACTAATGGGATATTTTGTAATGTGAATCCCTGGAATATGAGTTAAAGTGGATGAATTGGTCAAAAGTTAGAATGCTAAAAACAAACAGTTTGTGAAATTGTTTGTAAATCCTTGCTTGTCCAAAGTCAGTACGATCCTGTGTGTAAACATACATTTACAGCCCCTCTAGCACTCAGTGTGATATTAATATAGTTTATTCCTGTACAACATGGGTGGCCAACCCATTCTGGGCAAAGAGCCAAGATAGCAGTGGATCCAGCACAAAGAGTTGAAAGGGGCAAAGTTGTAGAGGAGGGGGGAAAAAAAAGATTGCCCCTTTAAAACGAGCCCCTGGTCATGTTTGGTCAAGCAAAAAAAAAAAAAAAACCTCTTTAAAAAAAGGCTCTGCCCCTTTAAGAAACCGCATTGAAACGCGTTTTGAAGCTTTTGGACCACAGCAGGCAGCCTGTAGGGACAAGGAGGGGCAGGGGGATCTGCAGCTGTGGGCACTGAGATGTTGATTGCTCTTCTTCACGCACGATCAGGGGGAGAGGAGAAAGGACACAGCTTGTGTGAATTACTCCTCTATCCCCTCCACTCCCCAGCCACAAGGGAGGGGGCTGGGTGCAAGCTGTGTACTTTCCCTTTGCTCCCTGATAGCTGAACAGGAAGGAGAATAAGCAGTGTTTATGTCAGGCAGTATAATTTCATAAATAGTGAGGTTAAACCCATTTAACTATAGCTATAAAATATTACACCCATAACTGACCTAGCCATACAAGTACAGTTCTAAATGTAGTTTGTGCTGGGAATATTCAGCTGCATTCAAAGAACAATATTTTGTGTTGCGTTCTTCTGTCTGATGCAAAATGCATATACACAGTGCTATTGCAATCAATTCAAATTATTTAAAATAGGCAAAGGTGAGCTTGTGTAGCAAGTTAACTTTTAAGACTGTAATGCAATTTTTGGAAAAGTTGATTAAGAAACCTTTAAAGTTCCTGATGATCATGGACAGCCATTTGTAGAGGGCTGTGCTTGTCAATGTAATGAAAGTTCAGAAGAGTTCAGATCAGGGTCACTTGGTTGTTTTGATGGTGCTAGATCTCAACAGTTGTTGATGACATTGTGGTTTGAAAAATTCATTCATCCTGAAAAGTGAGAACTTTGTCCAGATAAGTAAGAAAATATATGCTATCAACTTCTTAAAAATAAAAAAGCTTTTATTATAAATTAAATTAAAACATTGAAGAGCTGGTCATTCTTTGAAGGGTCTACATGCTCCTCTCTATTTCCATTCTTCTTTCAGGGCACTGCAAAGATTTCCTCTTCTGGATCTTGAAGTGTTTTGACTATCATTTTTGGGGTGGGGGTGGTGTCCTTGCCACGTGTGGAATGCAGCCTCATGTAGAACTGGCAGGTTTGTAAAGGGGTCTAGGCCACGTATAAAATGGAACTCATTTTATAAGTGACAGATCTATGGGTAGACCCAATTTTTTGTTCTCCTCCCTTTCCTTCTGGTACAATGTGTGAAAGAACTTTGCCCAGCATTGCTTTTCTTTTTGTTGTAGCTCAGGGTAAGGATGTTAAGAAGCGGGTAATTGACTAATCGTGTAGTCAGTACAGTTTGTATCGATTACACAATTAGTCGATAAGGTGAGGTGGGGTCCAAGAACGATGCCTGCTGCAGCTCTGCCTTTTAAATGTAGCAAGAGCCACCAGGCTCTTACTACTACATTTAAAAGATGGACATGCAGCAGTCCAGGACCTGGTGTGAGCCCCCCACCTCTGCACCATGTAGACAAGTCCTAGGAAAAACACCCTTTGCGGGTCAGATCTGGCCTGCCACGCCACTGGATCCAGCCCATGGATGCAGCGGGAAGTCTCAGGGTCCCCTGCTTGCCTCATCCCCGCACACCACTCAGAAAAGCAGCTGCAGGGCCATTTGTGTTCCACAAACTGAGTCTGGAAAGGAGGGGGCAGTGGTGCTTCATGGCTGCTTCTGCCCTCAGTACAATCCCATTGGCTGGTTTCTGGCAAATGGAAGTTGGCTGTTTGAAAAACAGGCAGCAAGCAAACCACTAATCCCCCCTCCACTCAGGCTCTTATTCACAGAGCACATGGCCTTGCAGTCTATGCAGGGGCAGGGCAGACTCATGCCTGAGAAACAAGCTGGGCTGTTGGCCAGGAGTCTCACTGGTAAGTCCCCAGGTCTTCCCTCCTCCCGAGCCCTATTTCCCTCCCCTCCACTCTTACCACCCCGTACTCCACATAGGCCAAACCCTCTGCCACCCTTCTGAGCCCATAGCTCTTCCCAAACCAAGCACCCCAATCCCCTGCCCCAGATCACAATTCCCTCCTGCCCTAAGTCACAGCCCAAACCCCTGTACCTCCTCCTGCATTCCAGTTCCCTGCCCTAGCTCACAACCCAGACCCCTGCATTCCAATCCCATGCCGCAGGTCACAACTGCCTCATTCAAACTCCCCCTCAGATCTCACAGGCAAGAAAGAAAGAAAATGATCAGGGAGGGCGCAGGCAAAGGGAGGCTTTCCCTTTAGTTTGGGAGGTGCTTTGCCTCCCCTCCCTTTGCTGCTCTGTTCCTCCCAGCCACTGGGATGGGTCTGGGGGGAGGAGCAGACATAGTTTCTGGCTCTCCCAACCCCGTCAGGGCCTTACGTTTCCCTCTGGTACCATGCACCCCTGGCAAGGGGAGGAAACTTCACGTGCTTCCTCTGCCCCCAGGCCAATCAGGGTTTTGAGTGGGAGGAGCACAGGAAGCTTCCTGGCCACGCCTCTTCTGCCCAAGTCCCAACCTTTTCCAGGGTGGCCTGCGACCACTTCAGAAATGTGTGACGTGGCCAGCCCCCTTCAAAAAGTATTGCCCGTGCCTGGCATACACGGTGCTAGGGGGAATCTGCTTTTAAGACGGCTCCCCCCAACAACAATTCCTGCTTTCCTCCCCTTGCTGCCTCTGATACAGAGACAGAAAGGGGAAAGAAATGAGTAGTTGCATTTGGCAAATGTGCCAAATGTTTTGTTAACCCCATCAAAATCTACCCAAATTTGGTCAAATTAAGCCTCAGAAAAATCAGTTTTTGTACATTATCAGAAGAGTCTTCTAAGTTCGATGGATAAAGTCTCTAGAGATTCTGACTGGGCATGCTCCAGTACAAGACTGCAAAGGTTAAACAGGACTTAACTTTGCAATTCTTCTGATTACCATGGACTGCTGACAGAGGCATAATCAAGCTTCAGGGGTGTGTGCTGGTGCAGAGGCAGAAGGGGTACATAGGATGGAGAGGAAAATAAGGGTCCATAGCCACTAGAAAACACTGCTTTTCGAGCCTGGAATACACCCAGGATTCTTGAGTCTCAACATTATTTTGTTATCTGTCGGAGTTGTGCAATTCAAGAAGATATTTCATTCCCCTCTACTAGCTGGTTCACAGAGGATAAATAGCCTGTTAGTGCTTTATGCCATTAGCTCAAGTGACAGATGTGTGCGGTAGTTCTGA